CATGGTCCTGAACAGTAATGTAGGAATATTCCGCTTGGACTTAGACCTGTCAATGTTAAGCTTGATGACCCATGCAATTGAGATAAGAAGAGCTTTACGGATATTGCTGCTTACTCAACATCGGATGCTGAAGTGGCTTAAGAAAGCAAGGGAACAAGGCCATGCTCCATGATTAGTACGTTCTTCTTGTTACATCAATTCTTTTTGTTAGTACTCAACTGCCTATCTTGTTTTTTATTTGTTTAATTTCATTGTGCTTCCATTGTGTGTCATTCCCAGTTGTTTTATATAGTCATAAAATTGATACATTTGAGTTCATGAACACTTCCAACTGTAAATATGTGTTTGCCTGAAGTAATTTTAATTGTTTCTCTAGTTCAGTGGTTCTTGATAATTAACAAAATATCATTAATGAACTCACGTGAGTGCATGATTCATTAATGACATTTTGCTCTTTTTCAATATAGTTGGTCAGTTTTTTTTTGTTAATCCAAACTGAAAGTAATATGTCTAAATTAAAATTATGCATAATATCGAAATAAAGAAATGAAAAAAGCATTATGCTATGGTGCATAATCAATCTAGCTAGATTTGTGAAACTTGTAGGCATAAAATATCTGTGTGCATCAATAATTCCATACCTAGTGGCTTTAATCATTGAGAGGAGGAATGAAATATGTTACAGCAAGGACGAATATGGATGATTTCCACCTAAATAATCTTGTGACCCTTCAATTATGGACCAGACATGGTAAATTGATTCAAGTTCTTTGATCAGCCGACAAGATATATGATTGAAGATTCATGTGTTGGTTTGTTGAATGATTATTGGGAAAATATTTTATGATTAAACTAGGTCACCAAGTAAAAAATATAGGAAACAAGGAATCAGAGTTTCTTCATGGGTAGTAAATAGAGTAGAGGGTGTGGTGCATGGCATTCTTTGTATTGGGCTGTTATATGATTCTTATAGCCAACAAGCTTATTCTGTTTAGGATTCCATTATCTTCCGCAATAGAAGAGAAAACCACAGAAAAACTATACTCTCTCCTCCTCTTGCAACCTCATTGTTGGCCTAGATTCTTGAGCTAGAAATCTCCTTGGTCAAATAATTCAATACATCTGGTTATTTAACTTATTTTTGTATTAGACAATAGTGAAATGCCAACCTTTCTTGTTCATAAACAAATCGTAAGAAACATTATTTTGACCATGAAGGAGAAAGTTGAACACCTTCAGTCAGCTTTACTAGGCGGGGTGGAGATTCCAGCATCGTAGACAACATCCATGCTTACATTTCCTTCAGAAAGAAGATGAAGAGGGAAATTTCAAAGAGCCTTAGAACACTAACGAGACTGGAGAGCAATATTACAGTCTCCCTTCCTATCATGGATGCTGGTTACGATCTATTAATGCTGGTAAAGAGTCTGAGGGAGTCCAGTGCCATCACTATATCTAGTTTCCGGTCTCTGCTTTTGTTCTTTTCAATGCCTGTAATGAAAACAAAGGCTGGTGTATTGTTTTCCAAACTGATCCCTGTTGCGGCTGAGAAAGGGCAGAAATTTTTTAGTGAAGTGCGGATGACAGACGTTGCTGTCTGCAATCTCTGTAGAAAAGTCCGAAAAGGCGATGCCAAGATTGATGTGCAAATGGAGCTGAGCAGATTGGAGACAATTTATGATAAGATGAGAGGTTTTGAATCAGGTTTAGATTGCCTGTTCAGGAGCCTGATTAGAATAGGGTGTCTCCCCTTAACATTCTTACACCATGATGTGCATTCAATAGGTGATGGCATTGTCATTTTAGAGGAGAGAAGGAGTGTCAGTGTACATCGACAACATTTTGTGATAGAATTATATAAGAATGATCTGTAAATTTTCATGTATCCACTAAAAATGCAAATTAAAGTTTGCAAGTTTAAAATGGATTCTTTCTATGGCCAAAGCCCCTATTTGCACCCTACACTTAATTGTTTTCCACGGTCAACACCTTCTGGAATTTTTCCTTCCTATTCACACCCTTAACTTTTTAAAACCCGTAAAAAACCCAATATTTTAACGGACCGTCACGACACCGTTAAAAAATACATTATGTGGCATCCAAAAAATGACGTGGTGCATGCAGCGTTTCCTTATTCGTTAAATTCAGACGTGGATTTATTTTTTGATGATTTGGCTTTCTTTTTTGCACATGTGGACGCCACATGTGCAGTGGGGCCTACTGCACAGGACTTTTTGCGTCCCCCACCAAAAAAAATTGAACAGGAGCAGTGGGGCCCACTGCACAGGACTTCTGCGTCCTTCC